GCCGACTTGGGCGCACGAGGCCGTTGGATGTGGCCAGCACCGTCAAACTCGGGGGTTCGCGGCACGGTGTGCTAACCGCAGCGCCGCCGCCGCCGCCATTACCTAACGTGAACTGTTACGTAACGTGTGCACAAACACACACACACACATGAATTACACAATTTATGGGTGAGACATGGGGGCGCCGCGGTGGCGAGATGTTGACTCCCCCGTCGCCCGGTATGCAGGAGGTCGTGGGTTCGACCCCAACCCCGACGCCTGTGTATGTAGAGTTTGCATGGTCTCCCCGTGGTCGCCTGGATTTTTCTCTGGGTCTTCCGGTTTTCCCTCTACATGTAGAATCAACATGGGTTTGGGGTATTTGGCCGCTATGGAAGTTCCACGTGACGATAAGCCACTTCGTCGAGCTGTTGTTTGTGGCCAGGTCACTTCAGACAAGGGGCTACGTAGCTCAGTGAGCCTTACCTGGTCAATAAAAACACAGTTCGTTCTCCTATAACGCAGTAGCCGCGTTCCTGAAGAACACCTCCTTATGGAAAAATCCAGTTATCATGAATAATACATAACATAGGGTAAAGCACAGTCCGCGATAACACGTGAGATGCGTACGCACGCCGAACAAAGACTGAGGTGCGTGGGCCGCATCTAGACGCATCCAGCAGCATCACAATGCCCTGTGGGGCGACGATGCTTCGTCCGAGGCAGCCGTTGCAACCACCGCTCATTCCCGCTCGCGGGCGACCGTGGTTCCGCTCACTCCATCGCCGTCGCAACCAATTCGGCACCCGCGTCACGACAAAGATGTGTCCGCTCTAATACATTGGCAGCGTTACGTGCGCTGCTGTCACAGCCCTATGATGACGCACCACCGCTGCCAAGTCCTGCACCCTTGACCACCCCCCCCCCCCCAGTTGCCAGAACATTGCTCCCTGGACAGAAGCTCCCTTTCTTCTCAAAACACTCTGCTGTTCGGATAGGGAACCGCCCCTCTGATGAACACATTGTCGCTCGCAGAAATCACCGATTCTGGTCTTCAGGCCTTCAAATACCGAGCACACAGAGGCATGGGACATGTCCTAACTTCACCACACACCTGCAGTGAACCAGTGATGATGCCGATTGGATGTACTAATGTCTGAAATGCCTGTTGTTCACAATCGCACCCCAACGCAAGAAATATACACGTCCAATTTCGCGCTTTTGAAAATAACAGAACACCCGCCATGGTACGCGTGCAAACGGACAGTCAGGTGGTGCGTTAAAAGGCCTCCGATTGGTGCAGAGAGGCCTCAAAGCGGATTGGTTAGGGCCGGAGAATTGAAACCGATTGGTTGTTGAGACATTCAAACGTAAAAGGCGGGGGAAACGGGGGCGGACTGCCGGGGAGACGTTTGACGATCGTTAGAGAGGAGGTGGACGAGGATTGGCTGAGGGAAACGGGGGGGGGGGGGGGGTCGAGGGATATAAAAGGGGACAGCACGAGTGGAAGGGGCGGCTGTAGAGAAGACGAAGATCTAGCATCGAGAACCGAAGAAGCCCCGGGGGCCTAGGAAGAGAGGTTTGTATCCGCAATGAAGGGCTCTTGGACAAGCAAGGACGTGCGTCGACGTCACCGCAGTAGCACGAAGTAAAATAAATAAATGAACAGAGAGTGAAGCTGCAACCCAAACGCCGACACGCAGAGCTCATCTCACGCAGCTACACGCCCGGGCTGTCTGAAGCTGCGGCAATCGGAAACGCAGGGAAAGCTCGCGCACGCACACACGTGTTCCGTGACGCTTTCCAACGCACACGTTGTCTCCCCCGGGGGGGGGGGGGGAGGGGCAGGGCATTTAATTAGCGGCGCTGGAAGCCGACGGGACGGGTGGCGGTGAGGGCAGACGTGAGCTTGAACAGCCCCGGGCCGATCCGGCAAAACCGCTCCACGGGCTGTAACCAGTCCAGCTATCGGCACCGTGTGCGTGTGTGTGTATGACAAAACAAAATAGCTATGCTTGATTTCAGTGTTAAATATTATACATTCTACACTACATACAACTTAAACAATGAAAATACTGCACGTGTATACATCACCCCATGCCGAGTCTTCGAGATTGGTGGTAAGTACGGTACAGTGAAAACAGTAACTTTTTAAAGTAGGATGTTTATGCAAATTTCATATAGCAAACAAATTTAAAACACTAAAAAACAAATAACAACACGTAAAAACATCAATATTAGAGGTTTTTTGGTGAGATCGTGTAAATATAAATGTGTCGTTAAACCCGCCACCCCCACCCGACACAGCCAATCAGTAAGGTTGTCACGTAAACAGAACGTGCCACATCAGGCTGTCACCTGATGATGCTAGCTGTAATTACTGGCAAAACGTCATACAGGAATTGTAAATCTTGCAGGTGTTACTCTGCAACACACCGGTTAGTGCTGTACTAGCAATGAATTGGCACGTTTTTATTTACGTGACACAAACCTTACTAATTGGCTGTGTCGAGGTGGTGGTGGCGGCGGTGGTGGTTTAACGCCACATTTATATTTACGCCAGCTAACCCCAAAAAAGCTTCTATTGCGGGCTAGCTTGACCGCCGACAAGTGGACACGTTTGCCTGGCTCACGTCCCCCAGGATGAAGGCAACGCTTGGATCGACGTCGCCAGTGGAACAGCAGCAGCAGCACGACCCCACATTGAGGCTTCGTTCCGGATTGGATCATCCTTTACGAGAGTTAGCGTGCGACAACCCTCCCCTCCTGCCGCACCTCAGATCAGCACGGCTGGCTACGTACGGCGGCGGAAGAAGTTCAACGTACATACCCTACGCGTACCCCCACCCCTGCTTACGGACAGGGACAAGGTATACAAAGTCCAATGACGTAGCTTCTAACCCCGCGCTGTAAGTGATCTGATGCGTGTGTTATTGCCTTTGTGCTGTTCGCCTTTTGGTGTTGTTCTCTGGTCTGACACTGGTGAGAATAGGCCATGAAGTCGCCTGTCTCTGCTCTAAGCCAGTTTCGAAGTCAATTGCATATATTATCAGAGCATGTTTGTTCATGTGAACCTGATTCCTTGCAAAATGTTTATATTTGGTGTTTGAACATCTGAACGCCTGCTGTTTTATTGCTAGAAAGGTTAAACACATATTGTTATTTTTCATAGACGGACCGACAGCTGACGCATAAACGCTCTCAACAACTTGCGTTGGAAAGCGCCGAACAGAACACGCCGAGCCGGGGACGTCGCCTGCAACGCCCCCGCGCACACCGGTTCCATCACGAGCAGCAGTGGCTCGTACGACCGCCAGTCAGCAGCAAGTAACCAATTACTTGAAGAGCCAATACAAACCGACCCGGACGCATTTTGATTGTGCATTCCCAATCTCTGCTGCTCAACAATGTACGCATGTACGCTGAACTTCTTTCATACCGTACGTAGCCAACCGTGATAATGGTGCAGAGTACAGTAGTGTTTAGTGGAGGAGTGTAGTGTATAGTGTAGTGTATTGTAGTGTGTCGTGGTGTAGTGTATAGTAGTGTAGTGTATAGTAGTGTAGTATATAGTGTAAAGTGTGTGAGTCTGTATGTTGCACTTCTTTCGCACCGTACATAGCCAACCTTGCTAATCGGAGGTGCGGGGGAAGGACAATGAATGTGTACATAGCCTAAGTAAAACGTGTGTGTCTGTGTCCGTGTGTGTCCGTGTGTGTCGGTGTGGGGAGGCTCTGGCGAAGCGGTTAGTGCGCTGCGCTATGAACCCAGCGACTCGAGTTCGATTCCCGCTGATGGCCAACACCAGTGAGGAATATCTGCATTGGTCCTGAGCCTCTCCTAGGTCGACTCAGCCTCAAATGCATACCTGATGTTATGTGTAAACGTCGCGACTGGGGAGACAAAAGGGGCCGACCGTGGTGTTGGCCACCCACCCCCTCGTATGCCGTGCTGACCTTCATAGGTGCCCGCTAACAGCACTTGGACCAACAGTCCGTTAAAGGTTATATGGGGGAACTTTGCCTTTGGGGAGGCAGTCACCCTCCAGCAACAGCGGAGGGCAGAGAAGCGACGCTCACAAGGAGCGGAGCGCTGAGCGGCTAATATGCAGCGAGTTGGCACAGTCGGGGGCACAGGTGGTGCATCTGCCAGTCATCTCAGTTGGTCAACCCGTGGCAGCTGCTGGGTCTTTCCAATGACCTCCTGCCAGCAGAGCCTAAGCAACTTCAAGTGGCCTCAAAGCGGAAGCAGCCTGGCACAAGCGCCTTGATAACTTCACAGATATTTAGTGGCGAGCGGCAGTTGTTGTTGCGAGTGGGTGAGCGAGTGCGAATGAATGGGTGGGTGTGTTGTTGTGCCCAGCCACCGCATGCCCAAGTAGCTTCGGTTTGGCCAGATAGAGGGGGCTAAATGGGCACGACACGGGCTGGAGAAGAGATGGACTGATACGGTACGGGAGGATCTGGAGCTGAGTGGACTTGCCGAAGACTGGTACCAGCGGTACCAAGATCAGCCTCTATGGAGGAGGCTCGTGAAGGATGCTACTGGGCAGTTGGAGGCAGCCGCCCTCCAACAACAACGGAAGGCGGAAGCGACGCTCACAACAATGAGCGGAGAGCCGGGCAGCTAAAACGCAGCAAGTTGGCACAGTAGGGGGCACAGATGTTGCATCTGCCAGTCATCTCAGTCCATCGACTCGTGGCACCTGGGTCTGTCCCTTGACTTTCCGCTAGCGGAGCCTGGCACAAGCGCCTTGATGACTTCGCAGATATTTAGTGGCGAGCGGCAGTTGTTGTTGCGAGTGGGTGAGCGAGTGCGAATCAGCGAGTTGTCGTGACCCGCAGTGTGGTGGTGAGACGAGGCTGTCAGTGTCTGGTCTATAAGGAATTGGCGCGTGGCGACGTTCACGGGGAAAAAGCAGCCACGGTAGCAGCAGCAATAGAAGAGCAATAAGGAAGCGGATCACCGTCGGGAGGCCCACGATAACCGTGGCGCGGGGCGGTCGCGGTGATTTTGCCAACCTTCTCTGTGCCGTAGAGCTCCTCCTTGATGTGGCCTCCACCAAACTCCTTCTTCACCGTGGCCCGGGTCGCCGCGTACAGCATCTTCTGACGCACCTAAGAGGGGGCGGCACGCGGAGTGGGGGACAGGGCGGGGTGACATCTTTGTACTTGTGTGTGTGTGTACACACACAATCGCGTTTGATTGTGTACCTATGTAATGGCAATAGAACCTGCATTGTGGTGTGAGGGGACGAGTAGCCACGGGAGGTAATGACAGAGGAGTCAGCCTAGAGTGTGAGTGGACTAGTGGCCACGGCAGGTAATGACAGGGGAGTCAGCCTAGAGTGTGAGTGGACTAGTGGCCACGGGAGGTAATGACAGGGGAGTCAGCCTAGAGTGTGAGTGGACTAGTGGCCACAGGAGGTAATGACAGGGGTATCAGTTGAGTACAAAGGGACTGGTGGCTACGGGAATCATCGAGAAGGGGAGCGTGGTCAGGCGACGAAAGCGGACGGTGGAGTCTGCCGGTAGACGGAGCGTCCAGAGTCAGCGAGAATGAACGAGAGGGGGGGCGTGGCCTCGTGTTGGTATATAAGGGAGATGCGCGAGAGACTCGGGGTTGTTGCACTAGGGTCTCCGCCTGATGTCAAGTGAATGTGTCTTCAATAAAGTGCCATCTCAAGAGAAGTGTGTCAAGTCGTCATTACACCTATAACAATGGATGCATGTGTGTGCATGTGTAATAGACCAGCAATTGTGTAAGTGTGCCTAAGCTATGTGTATGAGTACCTGTGATTGTGCAAGCGTACCCGTGATTATGTACATAAACCCGTCATTGTATACGTACACCTGCAATGTGTACATATATCTGTGATTGTGTATGTATACCCATGCTTGTGTAAGCGTACCCATGATTGTGTATGCATACCCTAGACGTGGGACCATCTACACATGATTGCGTACATACTACACTACGCTACATTACATTATACACTACACTACTATAGACTGCACACGACGCTATACACTACAAAAGCAAAACATTATAGTAAGATTTGGTACAGTACACAAAATTCAAAAACTAGTATCTTGCATTAAAGACGCATTACCTAAATTATCAACAGAAGGTGTATATCAGATTAATTGCTTATGTGGCAGATGCTATATTGGACAGACGGGACGTAATATCAGCATAAGACTAAAAGAACATCAAAGAAATATTAAATTATCTCAAACACAACTGTCGGCAGTGGCAGAACATGCTTGTCAACAAGGACACCCAATTGATTTTGATAACGTTGAAGTGTTGTGTAAAACTAATTATTACTGGCATAGACTAATTAGAGAATCCATTGAAATTGAGAGGAATAGAAATAACTTTAATCGCTCTGACAGCTACAGGCTTAGTGCGGCTTTGAAGCGTATTATTAAATAATACATATTACAATTCCTTATAGGGGAAACACATACTAATTAACGGATTACTAACGTAGCATATAATCACAATAACACACATTACAACTAATTACTAATCTACAACTCATTACTAATCATAACCATTGACTGATTACTAATCGATTATATAATTACAATACCCCCCCCCCACCCCGCCTCAAATCACTGCACCTGAAATGAGTTAAATGATGACATCACCCTGCTGCTCTATTTAAGACCGGGAGCAAGCGAGGGCTTTACCATTCTGGCGAATTGCCCGATGATGCTGGATGTAATTACCAGCGAAACGTCGTACTCAAACTGTAAATGTTGTGGATTCACTCTTCAACACACCGGTGGGCTAAAGTAGTGAACTATTTGTCTTTTGTCAACGTGACACTTTTTTTGCTGATTGGCCGTGTCGGGTGGTGGAGGGTTCATACTCTTTGGTTCTATTCGGTAAAGTTTATTTTTTTACCTACGTGACTTTACCGAATAGAACCAAAGAGTATGGATCCTTGCAGTCACGAAAGTTTCAAATCTAGAATTGGTGGAGGGTTACGACACATTTATAAATAACGCGATCTAACCCAAAAACCTTTATTATGAATAATATTGATCGCGAAAGCCTACATGTTAAACTGACACTACAGTATACAGTACACTATACGCTCGACCTCCATACACTAAACTCTACTATAAACTACACTATACACTGCACCATTATCACGGTTGTCTACGTAAGGTACGTACACTGTTCGGCAGTGCGTGCGTAACGAACCGGTGAGCTGTCGGGACACCAGGTGATGAAGAGCCACTCGTGCCCCTGCGGGTTCTGCGAGTCGAGGCGGTACAGCAGGTAGCACGGCTGCTCGGGCTCCAGCACCGACTGGACCAGCGCGTCGTACTCCGCGTCCCACGCCTGCTCCGGCCGCCGCTCGTCAGCCAGCACCAGCGTCTCTGTGCCTGGTGGCGGGCGAGCGGCGCGTCGTTAGCGTGGCCGGTGGCCACAGAAATCAGCCCCTGGTCGGAGCTGGCAACGCTTTCCAAATTATTTTAATTTTTTATCACCAGGTAAGGTCCCCAAGTGAGCTACAAGGCTCTTTGTCACAGGCAGAATGTTTATCTATGTTGGACGAGGAATCAGATGAGCTACAAAGCTCTTTGTCACAGGCAGAATGTTTATCTATGCTGGAGGAGGAATCAGATGAGCCACGTAGCTCTTTGTCACAGGCAGAATGTTTATCTATGCTTGAGGAGGAATCAGATGAGCTACGTAGCTCTTTGTCACAAGCAGAATGTTTATCTATGCTTGAGGAGGAATCAGATGAGCTAAGTAGCTCTTTGTCACAGGCAGAATGTTTATCTATGCTGGAGGAGGAATCAGATGAGCTACGTAGCTCTTTTTCACAAGCAGAATGTTTATCTATGCTGGAGGAGGAATCAGATGAGCTACGTAGCTCTTTTTCACAAGCAGAATGTTTATCTATGCTGGAGGAGGAATTAGATGAGCCACGTAGCTCTTTGTCACAGGCAGAATGTTTATCTATGCTGGAGGAATCAGATGAGCTACAAAGCTCTTTGTCACAGGCAGAATGTTTATCTATGCTGGAGGAGGAATCAGATGAGCTACGTAGCTCTTTGTCACAGGCAGAATGTTTATCTATGCTGGAGGAGGAATCAGATGAGCCACGTAGCTCTTTGTCACAGGCAGAATGTTTATCTATGCTGGAGGAGGAATCAGATGAGCTACGTAGCTCTTTGTCACAGGCAGAATGTTTATCTATGCTGGAGGAGGAATCAGATGAGCTACGTAGCTCTTTGTCACAGGCAGAATGTTTATCTATGCTGGAGGAGGAATCAGATGAGCTACGTAGCTCTTTTTCGCAGATGTCCAATAGGGGGCACTGGGGTCATAAAGCGACGACAAGAACAGGCAGTGCAACGACGCCAACAGGAGCGCAATGTATAGCAAAGGAAAGCAAATCACAAAAATAAATATTTTTTATTTTACAAGGTAGTGCCCCACTGAGCTCTGTAGGCCTTTTGCTGAAGCGACCGTGGACATCAATGATGGCTCAACGAAGGAGGCTTATCATCGTCACGTGGAAATGTCACGGCAGACAAATACTGAAAAGGCGTGACGTCGATTCTGAACGTGGAGGGAAAAACCGGAGGACCCGGAGAAAAATCCACGCGACCATGGGGAGAGAGACAAGCAAACTTCACATATACCGCAGGCGTCGGGGTCGGGATCAAATTCACGACCTCCTGCATACCAGGCGAGGGAGTTAACATCTCGCCACGGTGGTGCACCGAAGGTTGATGGCACTAAACGTTCCGTCTGCCTGTAACAAGGCAGGGGTGGTTGTCCAATATTAACGATTGCAGCCAACGAGCGGCTGGTGGCCACGCTGTCGCTGCTGCACGTGGCCGTCGCCCGTGATCCAATGCCGCAGTAGAGGCAGCACCGAGGGTTGATGGATCACGCACAGATGATGCGAAGCTCCCTTCTACCCCTGGGCATTGAGGAGGTGCCGTACTCTGGCTCGCCAGGAGAATGCGATGCAGCAAGGTGTTGACTGGCACTATCTGCTGTGCCTTCTGTACGGGGATAGGGCGTTGCCCCCTCGCATGGCGTGGGTTTTCTCCAGGTGCTCCGGTTGACTCCCTCCCACATGAAATATAAACACTCACTTAGTTGGCCGAAAACATCTTAATATGTAGAGAACTGCAGAGTTATAGGTTGGCGGCGGCTCACCCCCTGGCAGCCTGCCAGCTCCTGTGTCTGTGGTTCCTACTCAGCGATTGTGGGAGGACAATTGCATGAACGACGCGATCTAAAATTAATCAAACATTTACTTATTTTATGAGTGAATAGATGATGAAGTGATTCGGTGACTAAATTAATAAATGCGCAAATGAACGAACGAATTCAGGTAATGAATGAGTAGGTGAATGAGTTGAGTAGATGAGTGAATGAGCAAGTGCGTAGGTCAGCGGTTCTCAACTTGGGGTGCACGCCACCCCCTGGGGGTGCGAGACATGGCCAGGTTTTTTTTTTAGAAGGTAAATCATCGAACACACAAATTAATCATAGTTACAACTTAAATTTATGTTTAAAGCTTTCGTGACTGCAGGGATTCATATTCTTGGTTCTTTCGGTAAAGTCACGAAAAAGGGAAACAATAAAATAATAAAAATATAAAACAATAAAATTATCACGGCGTTTCGACTGCAACACAAGCAATCATCATCAGGTGTGAAAACCACAGCAAGAAAATTTCGGGATATATGTGGATAGCCTCATGAACGAATCTCTCATGAGGCTATCCACATATACAAACACAGAGACAATTTCAACCGAGAAGATGGATTCTGGTTTAGCAATCATTGGAAGGATTTGATAAACCATTTTGGGTCTTAATTGATTGTTCACGCTTACGGTGGCTTTCAGACCGCATCCATTATTTTCGTCTCCCCCCTCCTCTTTTCCGAACATAGATGGACTCGTCCACCTGAATAACTGTCAAATCTCTCTCCGTGGTGCTAACGTTAAAAATAACCGCCACTTTTTTCAAATTTTCTTGCTGTGGCTTTCACACCTGATGATGACTGCTTGTGTTGCAGTCGAAACGTCGTGAGAATGTTATTGTTTTATATTTTTATTATTTTATTGTTTCCCTTCTACGTGGTGACTTTACCAAAAGAACCAAGAATATGGTTACAACTTACTTTGTTGTAACAAAGTAAGTTACAACCCACTTTGTTTCATCAAACCCAATGTATTTATTAACATGATAAATTGTTCAAAACAATTGAGAACCAAAGGGGGTGCAAGGCTGCAGTAAAGGTTTAAGAACCGCTGGCGTAGGTGAATGAATGAGTAGGTGGCCGATTCAACAAATGAGTGAGTGAATGGATCACTGAAGAAGCGAGGAATGAGTGCAGAAGCGGCAGCCAACCATCGTCGATGGCGATCTTGATCAACCGCACGTCCCCTCCGCGTGCTCGCCCCAAGAAGTCGCGCAGGTCCTGGGACGCTGGAGCACAAACAAAGACAAAGATCCCCCGTGCAGTTTTACAGACCGCTGGGGCAAGTGCTGTTGGCGAGCACCTATGAAGGCCAGCACGCCAAACGAGGGGGTGGGTGGCCAGCACCACGCCCGATCACCTTTGTCTCCCCAGTGGCGATGTTCACACATGGCACTGCGTATTCATTTGAGGCCGAGTCGACCTACGGGAGGCCCAAGACCGGTTCGGATAATCGTCACTGGTCTTGGCCATGAGCGGGAATCGCCCGCGGGTCACTGGGTGGTTCGTAGCGCAGCGCACAAAACGCTACATCACGTGACGTCGACCACGGCACTTGTGCCAGGCCAGGTGCACCTTGAGGCCATCACGTGAAGTGTCAAAGGCTCGCTGGCAGGAGGTCATGGAACAGACCCGGGTGCCATGGATTGACCGACTGAGATGACTGGCAGATGCACCAATTGTGCTCTCCATTGTGACAACTTGCAGCATTTTACAAATCCTGCAACACTAGTCCTGTGAACCAGCAGGTTGCAATGATGTACACAGGTGGACAAAGATCCTTCAGCAGTGTTGGGGCAAGCGGTTAGCGAGCACTTATGAAGGCCGGCATAGCACACGAGGGGGAGGTTAGCAAAAACCACGCCCCCATCCGCATTTGTCTCCCCAGCGCTGATGCTGACACGTCGCACAAAGGTACTCGGTTTAAAAGGCCGAGTCGTCCAAGGGGAGGCCCAGGATCAGTTCAGATAATCGTCACTTGTGTTGGCTGCGAGTCAACGGGTTCGTAGGGCAGCACGCTAATTACACGCTAATTACAGCGCCACCGCTCCCCAGCAACACACACAAACATACACTCGTACACAGACACACTCACTCACTGCACGCAATGCGTATTTCTGGTCGGACCGTTTATCACAAGGTCAGGGTTATTTAGAGGTGAATGATATGCGTCTGCATTGTTTTTTTTGCACATGTTGACACGCTATAAATTTTCAGGAATCTTCGCCCGGTACCTTTACCAAAATGAAATCTAATCGTATTTAGCGCCTGTGCAGCTCACCGCAGCTCGTTACTTCCATCTCCCTCTCTTCCCTCCTCTCTCATCATCGAGATGTTAACTACCTCGCCTGATATACAGGAGGTCGAGGGTTTGATCCCAACCCTGACGCCTCTATATTTGGAGTCAGCGTGTTCACCCCGTGGTCACGTCGATTTTTATCCGGGTCCTCCGGTTTTTCCCTCCACATTTAGAATCAACGTCACGCGTTTAGAGCATTTGGCCACTATAAATTTCCACGTGATAAGCCACTTAGTTGAGCAATCATTTGTGGCTAAGTCGCTTCTAAAAAAGAGCTATATCGCAGCAAAGTGGGCCTACCCTGGTGAAATAAAAAGTTTAGTTTAGTTAGTCTAGTATCATCACCACCCCTCTCATCGCTGACATCTTGGCCCGGTCATTACTTCCCCGCCTCCTCCCCAGCTCTCCTTCTTTCTTCCTGATGCTCATCATCTTTCTTTCCGGTCACCCTCGCAGCAGAAGCAGCAGCGGCTTTTGGCTGCTGGCCATCGAACAAAACAGTGGTCACCGCACAGCGTGGCGCTTTCAGGTGAGCTTCTGCGGCCGTCTGGAACGCTCTTCCCTTCCGATATTAGGAAGCCACTGGAGCTATGCACTTTTAATCTAGATTTGAAAACTCTTTTGAGAACTGCTTTCTGTGTTTAGTTTTCTGACCTTCCCCCTGCACCTCCGATTAACGCGAGTGGCTACGCACGGTGCGAAGGAAGTTCAACATATGTACATACATTAGGACGTGAAGACGGGCACAACATTTTATCATTGCAACTTTACCAATGCTAATGGTTATAACGCACACGCCGTCAGCTACGCAAGAAGGCAGTGTCCGAATACCGTATTATCCCGCATATAACCCGCGGGGTATACCACTTTTTACAAACAAAACAAGACCCTGCGGGGTATATGGAGGTGCGGGCTATCACAAAATATTTTTACACGTGTGACATGTCATGACGCGTTACATTTTTTCATGGTAGGGCTATCCACTATGCAACACTTACCTTTGACTAAAGCACTGCTGAATAAACCACTCACACTAAGATTGAGCATGTTATCACGTTTAAAATTATTCGAAATGTTTGTACAATTAAACGACGATGTTTGAAGTGGGCGCACTTTGTTTACCGGCGACGGCAGAGCTGGGGGCTATATGCGCATGCGGGCTATATGCGCATGCGGGCTATATGCACATGCGGGCTATATGCACATGTGAGCTATATGTGCATGCGGGCTATAAGCACACGCGGGCTATATGCGCATGCGGGCTATATGCGTATACGGGCAAAATTCGCATGCGGGCTATATGCGCATGCGGGCTATATGCGGGAAAATACGGTACTTCCCACAGTCGTCTATCGGCTTACCCTCAGTTTTGATGCGCGCCCTCTTATTCACAACTTTGAATCATTGCGTTGGCTCTTTCGCAACTGAGATGCATTCTGCAAAACGGGTGACACGCCTAGTGTGGGCCCTCCCCACCATCGTCACCCTCAGCCATTGTCTATCCACTGATGGATGATGGCCCTCCCAGGCCACCGACGCCACCACCGGCCACGATCCAGTGCGTGGTTCATTCCAGTTTTCGCTCCCGCACGTAAACCGATCTCACCGCTCCATCTTCGCGGTGGTCGCACTCCTGCTCGCGGTTCCCGTCATCAGTCTCGGCCATCGCCCTCCGTCTAAGCAACAAGACTCCCGCACTTGCCCATTTGGGGCTCTGCGGTGGCGAGATGTTAACTCCCACGCCTGATACGCAGGAGGTTGCGGGTTCGCTTCCCGACCCTGACGCCAGCTGTATATATGGAGCTTGCGTGCGTCTCTCCCCGTGGTCGCGTGGATTTGTCTCTGGGTCCTCCGGTTTTTCCCCCTGCCACATTTAGAATCAAAGTCACGCGTTTAGAGTATTTGGCTGTTGTAAACTTACACGCAATGATAAACCACTTCGATTAGCTATCATACGCGAGAGCCAGGCACGCTTCTGAAGGAGAACTACATAGCTCTGTGGGCCTTGCCTGATGAGAAAAAAATAGTTTCATCGCTTAAAACAAAATAGTTTAATAGTTTTCATTTACTTCCCTTATATTCACGGACCTTCCATCGCATGACGTGTCGTGTCGACCGTATCACGGCCAAACTGGACATCCGTGAAAAAAGGAGCTTTATAGCTCATCCGATTCCCCCAGTTTATATTCAGATTGCAAATGTTGCGGCCTTGGTCTCCAACACACCGGTGTACTGTACTAGTAACGAATTGACCACGTTCTGTTTACGTGACAAACCTTACTAATTGGCCGTGTCGGGCGGTAGCGGGTTTAACGACACATTTATAAGTTCACGCGATCTAACCCAAAACACCTTCATTATGGATATAAGTAAAGGCCGATGCTGAAAATATTGTGAAACGCGGCTGCAACACTTCCGCAGGTCTGCCCCAAAACAAGGAATTGAGGGACTCGTCTTGGAAAGCCACAGACGCTGAGAAAACAAAACCCGCTGAGGACTACTATGCCCGGGCTTGGCACGGCGTGCCCGCACGCCCGCCCGCGCGGTACGGCCCAGTTTTTTTACGTCGTCTATCGCGGATCCAACGTCGCCCGCAGCGCCGGCGAGATTGGCAACCCACTCCCCGCGGGAACTAACAATGCGTATTTTTATGATTATTATTATTCTCCAAGCCACAACACTTGGGGGGGGGGGAGGGCGGGGCGCAGCGAGCGGCGTTTACGGAGAAAAATGTGGCGATCAGAAAATGTTGCGGTTCGCGATAGAACGCAGCCAAAAGCAAGGGCAATTTTGCCGGGGTGTTAACGGGCGATTCATCGATTAAACGCCGATTCTCAAGGCTCACGATAGAGGCGTGCTATTGTGTGAGCGCGAACATAAATATTATTTTGAATTTGCAACTAATGACAAAAAAAAACTCGACACATTCGTTGGCGGCACCGCCTTAAAAGGAGAAACGCATAACGGGTGACGTTCCAGTCAACGGCTCTCCTTCGTTGCTGTGCTATTGACAGTTCTTTTGTGTTTCTTCCATTTGTGAATAATCGCACCAACTGTTGTCACCTTCTCACCAAGCTGCTTGGCAATGGTCTTGTAGCCCATTCCAGCCTTGTGTAGGTCTACAATCTTGTCCCTGACATCCTTGGAAAGCTCTTTGGTCTTGGCCATGGTGGAGAGTTTGGAATCTGATTGATTGATTGCTTCTGTGGACAGGTGCCTTTTATACAGGTAACAAGCTGAGATTAGGAGCACTCCCTTTAAGAGTGTGCTCCTAATCTCAGCTTGTTACCTGTATAAAAGACACCTGGGAGCCAGAAATCTTTCTGTTTGAGAGGGGGTCAAATACTTATTTCCCTCATTAAAATGCAAATAAATTTATACCTTTTTTGACATGCGTTTTTCTGGATTTTGTTGTTGTTATTCTGTCTCTCACTGTTCAAATAAATCTACCATTAAAATTATAAACTGATAATTTCTTCGTCAGTGGGCAAACGTACAGAATCAGCAGGGGATCAAATAATGTTTTCCCTCACTGTACATTAATCTACTCGACTATACATTATACACTACACTATTATACATTATACACTACGATACACTATTACACTACACACAACTATACATTACTATACACTACTACACTATACACTACTATACACTACTACACTATACACTACTATACATTACTATACACTATATACTACACTATTACACTATACACATAATCTAGCTCTTTTTGGGGAATTCCCAGGCGTTTCCGAGCCAGCCGAGCGACATCGTACCGCCTGCAGCGTGTCCTGGGCCGGCCCCAGGATCTTCGCTCAGTGTATTGAGTTTTTTTTTAAATTATTTCTGCTCGTGCAGCGCCGCCACGTAAATTGTCGATCCGTGGGCGTGGGCGCTGTACATTAGTTCACGTGAACCCGAAAGCCACAGACCCACGAAGGCAGAAACCAAAATCGATTAATGAATAGAATTGTGACCTCATTAGTCTTGACGACTGGCCATCATCCCAACGAGCCGTGACGTTCACTGCTCAAGCCCACTAACTGTACTTATTTAAGTCTCATTCTGATCCATTTGTTCCTCTTCCCGTCTCACTTTTGTTCCACCCTCTCTCCTGTATACCCTTGCCTGGTATACAGGAGGTTGTGGGGTTCAATCCTGACACTGACGATGCCTGTTATATACTCGGAGATTGTCTCTCCCATCATTATCACGGTGGCTAGGAGATGTTAACTAGCTCGCCTGACCATGAGGCCTGTATATTTGGAGTTTTCATTTCACCCCGCGTGAATGTGGATTTTTTTTCTGGGTCCTCTGGTTTTTCCCTCAACATTTATAATTATCAACATCACGCGTTTAAAGCATTTGGCTGATAGAAATGCCCACACGATGATAAACCACTTCATTGAACGTTCATTTGTGGACAGGTCGCTTCTGAAGAGCTCTATAGCTCAGTGGGGCCTTACCTGGTAAAATAAAAATATAGTTTAACAGTTTTAATAGTTTGGTCTGCAGCATGGCTAATGATGCACAGAAATGATGGCATGACAACTGCAAAATGCCACTTTGAAGCAAGGGTTGGCGGACCGCGCAGACATCTGTGAAAACTACAAACCCTCTAGTAAGCTGCGAGGAGGCCAGTTCAGCAAGTGTATTTACGAACCCATACGTATGGATCCTTGTGAATTCCAAGTTGAAAAAATGTCCATCCATTGAATGCTGAATAGCACTGCGCCTTGCTTTACATGCCAATCGTTATGATAGTCTTTCGTCCCCGCGTGTGTCTGAGATCTTATCTGAGTTCCCAGGTTTCCTCGTACACACAAAACACTCAGTCAAAATGAATTTGCAAAACACATCCCAATGCAGGACTAATATGGCATCAAGTCTCAAGACTCGATGAGGCTTTTATGGATAAATTATCCAAAATTATGCATTGTGACGGCTGCCTTATGAATAAGCAAGTTACGGCCCAGCACACGACCAATGACAGGTCAAATAAACAGTTCGAAGCAGTAGCGAAGCTCACATGGAGGCAGGCAGGGGGTGCGTGCCTTGGCCTCCCCACCCCGGTGGCCACAGCTACGAGTTGGGGGCCCCCTTGACAACCACCATGAGATTTATTTTCAACAGTTGGCAAGGAACAACACACACTTGTTTAAAACGGAGCGTCCCCCACAGCGTTAAATGTTCGAGACCGTGAGCTTGACGATGTGATTAGGGCAAGGGGAGCCCGCGATATACAATAATCGCCAAGGTGCGTCCGTGTGAGACAATCAAATATTTGGACTCTACCTGACCGACTGCCGCACCCAGCTCAGCTGACAATGTCGTTACTACGCCACTGCTTCTAAGCATGACATTTCTATCGCTGCGGGAACTTACATTATTAGCAGACAACAGCCACGATATATTCTAAACATTTCCGTCGCAGAAGCTGTGTTTTGATTGACAACACGTCATGGGATCACACTGTATTTGCGATAAATTCTTGCTGTACATGATTTAGAATTTTTATTTAAAGCTTTCGTGACTGCAGGGATTCATATTCTTGGTTCATTCGGTAAAGTCACGTAGAAGGGAAACACTAAAATAATACAAATATTATTGTTTTATATTTTTATTATTTTAGTGTTTCCCTTCTACGTGACTTTACCGAAAGAACCAAGAATATGATTTAGAATGTTCATGTAATAATGCACAGCTCCTCTGTCAGGCCACTGCGAGATGAAGACCTGTCCCACGCAGAGTTGGGGGTTCTTTAACCATACTTCACCAGTTAGAGCTTGGTGACTTGTCCAGGACCAGTTCGGATATCACTCGCCACTAATGTCAGCCACGACGGGGATCAAATTCAGGTCTCCGGATTCAGAGCGCAGTGCACTAACGATCGGAGTTATGACCAGGCGGGAATTGAACTCAGGAGGCTGGGTTCATAGCACAGTGTGCTTTACCACTCAGCCCAGCACTGCATCCCTTATACATGTAACAAACATAGAGAAATCATATTACATAACCAGCCACCCGTTTTTCTTGCTCACATTATGCCCAGGTCACACTTGTCACAAAATGAGACTATTCTGCAACCTCCAGTTGTCCATACCTGTCAACCCATACGGTTTACCCGTGTTCTTGTACAGGGAAATCGAGTTTTCAGGTCCATTTGTTTGTGTTTCTCCCTTGTGACGGGACTTTGTAAGATGAACCTGAGATTTATTTGGGCACGTGGTGACCAATAAGGTCTGAATTGGTCTGTAATAAGGTAGGCACTGATAAGGGGTTGCCATGTACGCACTTGTCACGAAATGACACTATTTAGGAATCTTCAGTTGTCCCCACTGGTGAAACAAATAAAGTCGACTTCAACGTCTTGTACTGCAACATACAAGGAATAACCCTCACTGAGTCCCGAGACTCATTTAGACGCGGGTCCTACAATGGAACGATTTTTAAAAACATATTTTAGTTTTTCCGTGCAAGCCATTGGTGATTGGACGGGAGGCCATAACACTTGGCTACACCTGGGAATCCAGGATCATCTCGGATGGGCGGCTGCCACTAGTCTTGCGTCTCTTGCACTGTCTCTTGGATTGTCTCTGTACTGTTCGCCTTTTCGCGTTGTTCTCCGGTGAGACAAGGCCAGATAAAGAAGGCTGCCTCTGGTGTGTAGGCCAATCAGTTGCATACATTATCAGAGCATGTTTGTTTTTGCAAAAGATACCTATTGTTTCAGCATCTTAGCAGAACTTGTTTTATTGCAGGAAAGGGGTAAAAGCCTCTATGAATCCCCTACCACTTGCCTCCATTCATTCATTCCGCGGCGTATAAATCAAAACGAGCCATGGTCAATCCACTGCTGGATTGAAGCCCCCCCCCCCCCATCCCCAACTTCCCCAAGTTGCCGCCTATCCCAAGACGTAATTTTATCGTTCCGTCGTCTCCTGGGGCGTCTCGTCTTTCAAGACGCACCCCCCGTCTCCTTGAAGCCATTGTGACGCGTCCTGCCCAAGCCAATGTGGAAAAAGAGCTTTATAGCTCATCGGATTCCACCAATGCCATTAAATATTCGGATTCAAGTTAAACTCTTCTCTGACATAGCGAGTGGCGGCGTGCTTGAGAATTGTTTGTTTCTGTAACGTTCTTACCCGCACCGACTGTACACATGTGGAAAAATAGATTAATAGCTCATCGGAATCCAAAGAGCTTTATAGCTCATCGGATTCCACCGACATAAACAAACATTTTGATTCAAGTTAAACTCTTCTTTGACACAGCACGTGGCATCATTTTGACACAGCACGTGCTATATTGGGCCCACGGGTTCGCTCCACTTCCTTGTCTAAAGGTGCAAAATCCAAGCGGGTATCTCTTAGGAGGAGGGGTGGGGGTTCTCTCAAGCATCACGTTTGTTTAACTTTTACCTAGGGAATCAGTCTGTTGAAAGAGATTTCTGACGAACACTTTGTACGCGCAACGATAGCAGGGAAAAAACACAAATCGATAACAGCTGATAACTTAAACGCGGGTTCCAAAGCTTCAAAAGTCTTGGGCGTCTTACACGCCAGAGGCTTGCGCTGGTCGACCAAGTTCAATCCCCGACCACGGCTAACATCAGTGGCGAGTCGTTTCTGGGTCTTGCCCGCCCACCCTTCCCGCTCTGACCAGCGGGGTGAAGTATGGCCAAACGTCCCGTACGACTGCCAGTTTTTTTTTGGGGGGGGGGCGGGGGATGGGTGGGTTCCTTCCATCCAAAACAGCAGGTTAACAAACGGTTGCATAGCGTGTAAACATTTTATACTGTATATATACACACACGATTAAAAAAACACGGATTTCCCTCCCCACAAGATGCCAATCAAAAAATGTAATTCACGGGTTTAGACTTCCCAAAGTGAGCAAGGGAGAGCTTCCTAAAAAAAATAAAAAATACACCCGGAGTCCCGCGCAAGGTTCTCTAGCGTACAAACAAAAACCCCGCGGCATTTCACCGCTTTAAGGTCGCGTTCAACGAGCCCTCATTCATTAAAACACCGGCGGACTAACACTGCGATAACTACTACACAACTACCACACGCGCCGTCGCTTTAAGATGCGTCTCTGTTCATATTTAGTTTGTCGCGGTTGTACCCGACTCGAGAGCCCCATGGCTCACAGGGCTATACCCGAATGAATTTAACTTGAACACACAGGCAGGAGAGGTTTGCATAGCGCAACAATTACCGCGCGGCACCGTGATTTTAAAGTGGTCTCATTCGTTGAACGAGGCTTCAATTTCGAATCGAGAGAGCTCCAACCGGACACGCCGCTTAGCTGCTAGAAGAAAATAACAAAAGTGGCGCTGGGGAATCATCCAGCAGTGGATTGAGCAAAGGTTGCTGATGTGGTGGGAGCCGGGGGTTGTGGTGGTGGAGGGGGGGGGAGAAACCCGGCCGGCGCGGCCTGCACAGCGCGGCCGAGTGAAGCCTGCGGGGCCACTCAGGCGAGAGTGGTGGCGCCCGGGAAACGCCTTGAAGGGGAGATTGAAGCCGGGACGATTTAACGGAGGAAAATGAATGGGACCCGGGGGCCGGAGACAGAGGAGCAAGAGAAAGAAGCACAGCCAGGCGCCTTACCGACTATGCCGGTCTGGTGAGACATGGCTTGGATTATCGATGAGTTGAGGGGAAACCGGGGACTCGGGCGAGACCGGAGGAGACGAGGCTGAGCCAGGCCACGCCCAGCGACAGCCCGGACACGCCCACCGACACGCATGCCACGCCCATCGAGTCAGGCCACGCCTATTTGACCACCACTACATTTTTTTTTATTAAAATCAGAGTATTTATTTCTGCTGCAGGAGAAATCCAATGAGCAATAAAGCTCTCTTTTTTTCCCCGCAGATGCCCAGTAGGGGCACGGGGTAAGAACGTCACAAACAACAAACAATACAGACGATAGTAGTGCAAAGTACAAGAAAGGTAAAAAAATAACCCAAACATTCAAATCCAACTAAACCATCCCCCCACATCCGACAAGACAAAGCCACACTGATGTCTATTCACTTATTGTTCAAAAGCGACCTGGCCACAAATGACAGCTCAACAAAGTGGCCCATCATTTGGACATTTGTAGCAGCGAAATTATCTAAATGCTCTAAACGCGTGATGTTTCGAAATGTGGAGGGAAAAACCGGAGGACCCGGGGAAAAAATCCACACGACCACGGGGAGAGACAGAGACACCGCAAAACTCCAAATATTCAGCAGCAGCAGGCGTCAGGGTCTTGATAGAAACCACGCGCTCCTGTAGAGCAGGCGAGGTAGTTAACATCTCTACAGGGAGAGAGACAGAGACACCGCAAACTCCAAATATACAGCAGCAGGCGTCAGGGTCGGGATGTAACCCACGACTTCCTGTATACCAGGCGAGATAGTTAACATCTCTACAGGGAGAGAGAGACACCGCAAAACTCCACAAATACAGCAGCAGCAGGCGTCAGGGTCGGGGTCGTACCCACGACCTCCTGTATACCAGGCGAGGTAGTTAACATCTCTACAGGGAGAGAGAGAGACACGCAAACTCCAAATATACAGCAGGGTCGCGATCGAACCCACGACCTCCTGTACACCAGGCGAGGTAGTTAACATCTCTACAGGGAGAGAGACACGCAAACTCCAAATTTACAGCAGGCGTCGTGATCGAACCCCCGACCTCCTGCATACCAGGTCGAGGAAGAATACATCTCTTAAAACACCACATATACATGTACTTGTACTTGTCTCTCCTCATTAAATATTAAAAGTGCGTCTTTACGCATTCCCATCAGCCACACATCCTCGCAGCGCTGCATTGACTCGGGGAAAGCTCTGAACCGACTTCGACTTTCAGTGTGCCATCAGCAGTGCAGCGTGCTTTGAGTCAATGCTGGTGAACTGCTAGATGTCACAGGCAAGGATCTCTCTCTACACTATGAGGTCCGACTTTGGCACCAAATTATATAGGAATACATATCTTGCAATAAGCATTCGCGTCGTTGTGGAGAATATACATGACAATAAATTTATTTTCCTTCACGTATCCGTACTTTTATTTTTTCCGGGAGGAAGTACGTTCACGTGGAGATAGACGGATATGTGGAGGTGCGATATTGCTTATTTACAAACCTGTCAACCTCTTGTTGGTGCTAAACTTATTACAGACCAACTCAGAGCTTTTGGTCACCCCGTGCCCTAATAAATCTCAACGTTCATCCTACAAAGTCCAATCACAAGGGAGAAACGCAAACAAACATACACATGTTTTGTTTGCCCGTATTGAAACGGCTGTACGCCGCATGGACCTGAAAACTCGATTTGCCTCTACAAGAACATGGGTAAACCGGATAGGTTGACACGGTATGGACAACTGAAGATTCCAAACTAGTCTCATTTTGTGACGAGTGTGACTTGAACATTAATGTGAGCGAGAAAAACTGGCGGGTGGTTAAGTAATGTTACGTCTTTGTGTTTGTTTACACGTGTAGTGTAATAGCGCCGGCTGGTGGACAGCAGCGGCAGCTGTGGTGGACAGACATCACACACGCCGGTGAGCGTGAGCACGGTGGGTGTTGGCAGAGCGGAGGAACTGGGGCAAGGGTCACGGAGGACCCCGTGTGGAGGCCCCTGGAACCTGCTAGGGGCTTCGAGAAGGGAGGCGTGGCCAGGGCGTGGCTAGGGCGGAGCCAGGCCACGCTGAGAGCATAAAAGGAGCAGAGAGCGGGGGGCTCAGAGCTGCCGGTGCTGGGAGTGGTCTCGTCTCGTCGTCGCTAAACGTCTCCGCTAGACGTTGCGCTACAAAGGAGGGCAGTTGGCTATCTCAGTCAGCGCCATCAGCGTTAGACGGCTCGTGTTGTGTACAGGCTGGGCTGAGCTACTGTGGAGAGAGTGTGGACGAGACAGTGGAAGTTGTTAATAAAGAAGGTGCCTCCTATAAACTCTGTCTCTGAATCGTTGACACGACACATGTATAAGGGATGTAGTGGTGGGCTCAGTGGTAAATCACACTGTACAAGAATACGGGTAAACCGCATGGGTTTACAGCTCTCTATTTATATTCTCCACAGTGACGCTCGTAACACGAACAGGCTCTTGCACGAGATGTCAGGGATCTCCAAGTCTGTGGGTATTTAATAAATGCGCCTTAGAACCTATTCAAACGCTTCCGCTTATGAAAAGTTTTAGTTAATTTTCTAAATGGATTATAATGCTGCTGCTATGTCTTGTATAGCGCTTTGAGGTCCTTTATGAAAAGCACTATTCAGAGACTCCTCTACTTACGAACGAGTTAAGTTCTAGAGGTGTCTGTTCGTAAATCGATTTGTTCGTGAGTCCAACTTGACTCCTGTGGATTCCAAACATGTTGTACGGCATGTACACTAAGCACAGCGAATGGCTTTAAAAGTTGTAAAATATCCTGTGTGATGAAGATGACACTGGTTCTTCACGTTCTGTAGATGTAGATTCCACCACTGACATCTATTGCGCGGTGGTTGAACTTACAACTCAAGGTCCGAGCAGGCAACTGGACATAATGGACATGTTTGTTCGTATCTCTGAAAGTTCGTAAGTAGAGGAGTCCCTGTAGAAACGGGAATTATTAGTCACATAGGAGTCTCACATCATGGGACCTCCTTTGCCAGTACCAAAATATGATTATCGGTTTTCCCCTTTTTACTGGCAACAAAACAGGTGTCAAGATGTTAAAACACCAAACGTAAATATGTTACAAGGCATCATGTCTGCATTAACCACAATACTTGTGGTTAGAATGCAAACAAAAAACATACTCTGATAATATATGCATTATCTTTGAAACTGATTTGTCCACACCAGTGACAGCTTTCTTTGGAACCGAATCTCACACCTTTTGAGACGAGGCTCCAAAGAAAGCTGTCTCTGGTGTGTACCAATCAGTTTCAAAGACAATGCATATACTATTATTGGCTCTTTCGGTAAAGTCACGTAGAAGGGAAACAATAAAATAATAAAACATTTTCTTGTTGTGGTTTTCACACCTGATGATAATTGCTTGTGTTGCAGTCGAAACGTCGTGATAATTTTATTGTTTTATATTTTTATTATTTTATTGTTTTCCTTCTACGTGACTTTACCGAAAGAACCAAGAATATGAATCCCTGCAGTCACGAAAGATTTAAATCAAAATTTAATGCATAGAATATTAGAGTATGTTTTTTGTTTGCATTCTGACCACAAGCATTGTGGTTAAAGCAGACATGATTCCTTGTAAAAGGTTTCAGTTTGGTGTTTTAACATCTTAACACCTATATTCTTGGTTCTTTCGGTAAAGTCACGTAGAAGGGAATTAATAAAAATAAAACATTCATTTTGATTATTTTATTATTTCCCTTCTACGTGACTTTACCGAAAGAACCAAGAATATGAATCCCTGCAGTCACGAAAGCTTTAAATCAAAATCTTAACACCTGTTTTGTTCTCATAGGAATCTCAGTTAAATACTATGGCCACGACCATGCTTACAGCGACCACGCCCACAAATATCCTAACCACGCCCACAACTACTATAGCCACGCCCACGCCAATACAAAGTCCGCCGGCGTGGGCCCTGCCCAACACTAATGTGGCCACGCCTACTCTAACACTGGGGCCCCGCCTACCCCCCGGGGTCTCGCCCCCCCACCACCAAACGCGCATGCGCAAACAACTACGTCGAGGGGGGGTGTCCCGGCCCCCCCGCGAAAAAAGCGGGAAGTGGTCACGAGGACCCGCGAGGGCCACGTGGTCACGTGCCAGGGGCGCGGTCGTTTATTTATTTATTTTCCTTTCCCACCGCACCTCCGTGTCTGGTTATGACCATATAAGGCGCGAATCGATGTATGTCATTAATCGATTACATATTATGATTAATTGATTCCAGCTCGCGATTGATCGAGAATACAAGCGATTGCTATCACATTTAAATTGGTTAAATAATTTATATCGATTCCACTTATGGGCAATCGTTTCCAAATTAAACGGAATCGATTATATTCGATTAAAGCAACTAATTTTTCTTCATTTAAATTAAGTACAAATGCATGATTAATAGAAAACCCCACAATGTACGATTAATTAAGGGTAATTAAACGATCGATGAGGCAATTACAGAGGCGTACAGTGCCAGTGAGAGCAGAGAACAACCTGGCGCTGTTGTTAGAGACACTCAAATCAATAATCATGTCACCCACACTCCCAAAGGGCGTACAAATCAAGTAACAGTTTGTCACTCAGATCAATAATCATGTCACCCACACTCCCAAAGGGCGGTTAAATCAAGTGACAGTTTGTCACTCAAATCAATAATCATGTCACCCCCCCACCCACACTCCCAAAGGGCTGATAAATCAAGTAACAGTTTGTCACTCAAATCAATAATCATGTCACCCCCCCAACCCACACTCCCAAAGGGCGGATAAATCAAGTAACAGTTTGTCACTCAAATCAATAATCATGTCACCCCCCCCACCCACACTCCCAAAGGGCGGATAAATCAAGGAACAGTTTGTCACTCAAATCAATAATCATGTCACCCCACCACCCACACTCCCAAAGGGCGGATAAATGAAGTAACAGTTTGTCACTCAAATCAATAATCATGTCACCCCCCCCCCCCACCCACACTCCCAAAGGGCGGATAAATCAAGTAACAGTTTGTCACTCAAATCAATAATCATGTCACCCCCCCACCCACACTCCCAAAGGGCGGATAAATCAAGGAACAGTTTGTCACT